GAAAGGGGCCCCCGGTTTCTATCTCGGGGCGTCCTGAGGGGGACGCGGTGCTTTTGCGTTGACTCTGTCGCCCCCGTAGCCCGCGCTGTTGGCCTTTGTCGCCCCCCCCCTCCCGCGCCCTCGCTCCGGAGTCCCGAGGTTGTGCAGTCCCGTCAGGGTCGCCTCGTAGGCTCCCTTGTCCCCTCCCCCTTATCCCCGCGACGGACCCGCGCCTGCAGTGCCTTCCCGCGTTGCCCAGCTCCAAAAAAGAAAAAGAGAGCAAACCTAGCCGAGTTTCAGGAAGCAGTCTACTGCTTGGAATAACTTAGAAGACGTTTTACTAACAAATGCCGGACTTTACCCCCTTCCTTCAAGTTCTGTGAAGTGGAAGCGAGTTAGGGATGTGGTTAAGAAAGCGGGTGCTGACGTGCTGAAAGAGCTTGTTTCACAGATTGTAGTTTTAATGAGAAGCGAGTTAATTCAAGGATGACCAACCTTTTGTGCAATAAAACTTTGTACCGGATACCTGCCAGCAGAATTTTGGAAGCTGGCATTTAGATTAACAAGTTTTGTAGAACTGACCTACCTCGTAATTGAGAAAGTAGTGATCCAGTATATTATCTTGAAATCAGTTTGTAGGATATGGAATCTTGAAGAACTTCAGGACTCATTAGGGCATAGTCCAATTCATAGGTAGCCAGGACCTGTGCTTTTCATTCAGGCCATGCACAATTTGTAGCCATTGCTCCTCTGTCTCTGTGACAAGCCCAACTTGTATTCTGTTTCCATCCTTCTTGATGAATAAGAGATGGAAACATACAGGTTTTTGTTGTTGGTGGTGTTAATGGTGATGATTTATTCTGGGGAAACTTGGTTCACATTTCTCTTCCAGCCAAGTTTTAGAGTCAGTCAAGGCAGGGTAGTGTCATCAAGTCTTTGTATGTAATAATTAAGGCCCCAGGACTCTAGCCTATCCATTTTATCACACAGTTCTGTCCTGTCCAAAAATTCCTTTTTCTAAACGTGCTTAGCTTAATACTTGGTATGTAATTGTGCTCTCAGGTTTTATCAAATCAATGAATATACATCATATAAGTCAATGATTTTCATTTTTTATGTTATTAGCCAGTCTGCTTTAGGGAGAGGGCAAAGAAGTGAGGGGGTGGAGACCAAAATTACCTTTATTAATTTTTAAAAATAACTGGCAAAAGGTATACAGAATTGGTTCTCACCTTTGTGTGTAAAGTACTGTAAATTACCTTACTTGGCTTATGCTCACATAATATACATAATACTCTTCTACAAATGATGAAATTGCGTTAGAAATGGAGGAAAAGGAATACACTGTTTTTCTTTGTTTTTTTTGGTCAGGGTCTCACTATGTACTTCAGGCTGGGTTTGATCTCACTATGTAGCCTAAGCTGGCTTCCAGCTCATGGCAGTCCTGCTTTACCCTCCTGGATGCTGGGATTACAGGCATATGCTACTATGCCTGGCCTATACTGGAAATTTTTTGACTGTTAGATAATACATGACAAAGTCCCTTTGAGCATTTTTACAGGTATATATGAGGATGGAAGAGCAGGAAATTTTTGCTAGTTATATGAAACTCCAGATCCAGTTGGATCACTTATGAGACTAGACTACTTTAATGTTTTTGTTATTGTTCTAGGAATTTAATCCAAGGGTTCATCCATGCTAGGCAAATGTTTTACCACTGAACTACACTCCCAGTTGCTACTTTCCTTATTATAGATGAAAAATTGCTCAAGAGTAGTTAAATGATTTGCTTGAATTCGCATAGCCTGCAGAGGTAGGAATAGAATTAAGGCTTCCTGAATTCCAGGCAGTTTTTTTATTTTTTTCCTCCAACAAATGTGAATTGTCAAGGTTGACGGTATTGCATACTTGTAGTCCCAGGACTCAGGAGGCTGAGGTGGAAATATCACTTAATTCCAGGAGATTGAGACAGCATAGACCTGTTTCAAATTTTAGATGAAGAGAGGATAAAGGGGAAAGGGAAATAAATTGACACTCTGTCCTTTGAGAAATGCAATAGATAAGCCATGTATATTTTTGAAAGTGGTACTATGTAGCTTATTTTTGACTTAGAAATTAGTAAATATAACCTTAACTATTGGATCTTTTTAAAAATGGGCAGCATCTTCCTAGACTTTAACCTGGATTGGTGGGCCTGAAATCCCCAGAGGTCTGTGTAGATATAATTTCTTTGTATGGTAATGGAGTTAAGGAGAAGAGAGATTAGGGGAAAAGGAGGAAGCTTCCTGTTGGGTTACCTGAAAGAAGGAAAGTGAAAACCTAGGATGATGGATGTGCATCCCTAAGGTACTTCTCATTTTTGTTAAGTAATACATGTTTTGTTTTGTTTTTACAAGAATATTAGAGCATTGTATAGGGAGGACTGGCATTAGTATGTGCTATCTTCACTTGGCATTGTATGTGGCGGCATCAACAAATAGAAGAACATCAAGGAGGCAGGTATAGTAGCAAATGTTTATAAGCTCAACATTCTTGGAGTCTGAGGCAGGACGATAGTGAGTTCAAGTACAGCCAGGGTAGCTTAGTGATTTAGCAAGACCATTTCAGAAAACTTTAAAAAAAGGCCTGAGTTGTAGCTCAGTGTCCCTGGGTTTAATCCTCAGTACCATAAATTAGAAAAGAAAAAAAAAAAAAAA